GGGGGGTGGGTGGGAGGGATTCTTACCTTTCAGTCCTCCAGATTGGTCCCTGCTGGCCTGAACGTGCAACTATTCCAAACTCAAGCTGGCACTAACACGGATCAACATTTGTGTGGCTCACAGCGTAAGGCGCAACAAGGCCCTAAGGCATTGAGCAGCAAAACTGAGCATTTAGAATGAGCTCTTAAAATAAAACTGAGACTTATCAACTGAATCTAACATATGGCTCTGAAGGAGGTGGCGGCCTTCCAAAATGTTGGATGAGAGCTGATCTATCTTTGAAAATAAGTACCTATGAAAGATCCCATAGAGTTAGGCAGAAAAACTTCATTGCTAGCAAAAAGATCCTGGTCTTCAACAAGCAAGGAAGGATGGGACATGTTTGGAGCATGTACTTCAGATGCCAGTATGCAGACACCCATACTGAGCCATCCAGTGGAAACCAACTGGCACAAGGAAACAAAGGCATCTCTAAGATACTTCAAGAAGAACCCTTAGCAGAAAGGGCAGAAGAGTTGACCTCAGCAGTGCGGAGCAGTTGGATGTGGTAGCAACAGAGCCAGCCTTTGGGGTGAGCTGCATGAGCAACTGCCCAGGGTGCCATGGTCAGGAGGGTGCCACACACATACCCAACCTGCCCCACCCCACTGCATGTGCCAGGCAGGACTTCAATGGCAACTCATCCTGGGGGATGGGCAGTGGGGTCTGCTTCCACAGCTATGTGTGATTGGAGGTGGCTGGCTGGGGCAGTGGGATAAAAAGTCCCTGGATGGCAGCAGTGGACTCTTCCAGGCAGCATGCCAGGAGAAGGGTGCCGAGGGCTGGTTCAAGGGCAAGGCGGCAGTGCCCAGTGAAAAGATGGCATGGCTGAGAGGCCCAGGCTTGTGCTTCAAGGCCTTTGCCATCACCAACCTGATGGGGCTGGAGGCCAAGCCACAGCTCCCCCAGCTGCTGCCATCAATGCCAAGCATGAGGGTGAGGGCATGGGTGGCTGGGTAGCACTGGGCAGCAGCACCTGCTGCTGGGGCTAGGCTTTTTGTGTGGGCAGCGCTGCCTACTGCCCACCCACCTGCTCTTCCTGCCATCCTGCACTGAGCCCCCACTACACCCTGGCCTCGCTGCCCGGTACCTGGCCAGCATCTCAGGCAAGTGGACATGTGCTGCACTGCAATAGCCCATGAGGTCTCCTGCCACCCGCAGCTGCTGGAGTACTTGTGTCCCTCATGCATTCACATCGTCCCCCACATCCCTCCCCCACCCCCATACATCTCTCCCTATCACATACAACCCACGCACACAACTCACACACACAGCGTTGGTGACTTGGGGGTGGGGTGCCAGGGGGAGGTACTGGGGTGGGGCACCAAAATACAAGATTGCCTAGGGTGCCATTTTCCCTAAGGCCAACTCTAAGCAGCAAACAGAGGAGGCTTAGAGATTAGTTTCCATTTTGCATGCCAGTTTTGGAGCAAGAGGGAGGAAAGATGCTGATGCTCAGATCTTGGCTATTTTCAAGTAGTCGCAAGTGAGTCCAGTGGTCCCAAGTCAGATCTTTTGGTAACAAAAAGAAGTAATTTACACTGGAGGATGAATCTGTTTCAGTATTAATGCTTCAAGGGGCTATCAATATTATTATCATCCATAGTAATAGGATTAATATTACTGTTACTTTCATCATCAGTAACAATAATATTTACTCTGACAATAGCCACTCGTCAAAGATTCTGATTTCCTTTCATTTGAATATATCATATTTTCTTTCCCAATGACTAGAACAAATCATGCTACACTGAATTCTCAGATACTCAGCATATGCAGTGTTCTGTGTGTTGAATGGACAGGGCTTTCTCTCTGGAACTGTGGCAAACCCTGGAAAGTCTATTTCTTTCTTTTTCTCACCAAATGATCTGGTTAATTGAATTTTTTTTTTTAACTTGGCACTTACTCTCTGTCATTAACTCTCCACAAATAAGCCTGGCATTGTCTCATTTTAAAGCTGCTTTTGCATGCTGAACTCCAGACTTCACGGATAAAGCATGAGCTAAAGGATCAAGGGTAGGTGTATTGAGAATGTTGGATGGCTTGTTGGGATAAAGTCTGAAAATCGACTGTGTGTTAGGAATGATAAGCAGGATAAGTTGTGTGTGGAGATGGGAGGGAAGTGTGAGGAGAGGAAGAGGAAATTCACAGTAGGTACAGCTTATTAATAGTCTCTTTAACTTTCCCTGTCAGGCAAAGACGGGGAGGTAAGGAGAGTTTTTTCAGCAGAAATGGAATTCGGTTTCATATAGGAGTAAAAGCACATGGAGGAAAATTTTGTTTTAAATCAGTTTCTCTCGGAGTAGAAATAAAGCAACATCTTCCAAAACCCACATTTAAACACGTGCATTTTTTCACTATGATATAAGATATTTTCTTGCCTCCTGCTTACTTTTAGTAAGTTGCAGACACAAGGGTAAACAGTGCCTTTTAAATGGGAGCATATAACTCCTGAACTATCACTGCAGTGAGACTGCTAAGGTGTCTGAGTACTACTTCCCTCTACTGGACAGAATCAGAATTTCTCATCTGCATGGCATAGGCCCCTTACTGCTAACAGTTAATGGGGATTGTCTAAGTTTTAAATGGTCACTGTGTGCCTTTGTGGCAAGGGAGCCTTGGTCTAGTTCTGTTCTCACTGTGATGTTCTGTTTATGGTTTGCAAGCTCCTGTGAGGATTTTTAATGCCCCCAAATATGTAAAAGTATTGTACCAATAGTGAGAGCACCAACAGGGAGATCCTTATCCCCCAGCCCAAGCCTCTTGGTCATGGGACCCAGGCAGGGAGAGAAGAATCTCTCAGCGCTGGCCCCATGACTGCGGAGCTGGCACTGGGAGAGAAGGATCTCTCAGCCTGGGTCCCATGACCATGGGGCTCGGGCTGGGAGATAAGGATCTCCCAGCACTGGCCCCATTGTTGCAGAGCAGGGTCTGGGAGCTCCCTGCTGCCGGGGTAGGGGGACATTGTCTCTGAACTCCTGGGGGCAGGGAGTGATTTCCTGTCCCCTGCTGCCCAGCTGACCAGAAGTACATTTGCTCCCTGTCAGGCATCTACACATGTGCTACTGCACAGTAAGTAATCTCAAGTAAATTTGCTACTTGCATTTTCAGGTAGCACATTTACTTGTGATTAGAGCCCATTACTGTGCAGTAAGTGTCTGCATGCATAGCCATGGATGCTTACTGTGCAGTACTTAGCTCTACTGAGCAGTAAAGCATCTCATGTAGATGTACCCCAAGAGCTTTAAAAGTGACTTCTGGAAAAATTAGCTAATGGCTTAGATCCTCCAACCTGGGAGGATCAACTCAGGGTGAATAGCTACTCCAAGCTTCTTCA